TGGTGAAATAGTAATCTGGGAGGTGTGAATTGGAATTTGACAAGCCCAGATTGATGCAAGCCCATATCCTGCGATGGATCTAGTGTGGTGGCTTCTGGGAGGTCCACCATGTGACTGCTTCTTGGAGGCGTGAGATCTAGCCAGGACATGATCTGATGGTGGCTAATCTTGAGCGTATGGTGTACGTATGGGTTGTATGACATATTGGATCTGCAAAGAAATACCAAGAAAAAACACAAAAGCACACGCCTGGGATCGAACCCAGGACGTTTGCTTTACACCTCCCTTTCTTGACCATCTGCGCTAGTTACTCATTCATTAATATAATAACACAAAATAAACATAAAGTAAATAAAGTGCTATGCCCAAATTTCCACACACGCGCTTCCTGGTGGGTCCCCTCTGTTTGAATGAACCAATCCCTGAACACCACGCCATCACCTTCTTCACTGATCCATCATTTTAGGTGATGGACTTTTACCTACAGTCGTTTCCGTCACTATAGGCTATAGTGATGGCTTTTGTTCGTAGCTGTAAACCTGTAACATTTTAAAACATGATTCAAGCATAATAAATTCCCTCCAAATACATGGGCTGACTGCAAATCATCCACTAAACACCAAAGGGCCCTTAATTTTGTCCAATTTTTCCTCTAGCTAGGGTTCCCCAATTTGAAGCTTCAGAACCCTAACAATGGAAAATGATTATACCTGCACTCAAACTTAAATTGGACCATCCAGAAACATTCATGTGATGATTATGAACACGAAAATACAGTTAAATAGTATTTATAATGTATGAATGAGTGGAATCGAGATTGAAGAAAATGTGAACAAACTGTGAGTGTCAAGGTGCGATTCTGGGTGCTTTGGAACTGGGAAACGATTGGAAAGGCCTCTGGGAATACCAAGGGGTGTATTGCGACCTTCAAATCCACTTGAGGAGGGCTGCAACAGGGAATCCGAGTTGATATTTTTTCTTGAATTTTTGGAAGCTTGATACGAGTTCTCTTGAGGCAGGTTGTGCGTGAATCGTTTTCTTTAGGTTTCACAAAGCTTTGTTATAAGTACAGAATCAAATTAGGGCAATGAATTTGGAAAGAATCAAAAGATTGATGGCCTTAAATTTCGATTCCAATCTTTCCAAAATTGTAGATTTCCTCTTATTTTTGGCTTGGCACGATTTTCTCGAGGTTATACAGCTTGCATGATCTATAATTCAATGCAAAACAAATCTCGTTCCATAAGTTTGATTTATTTTGATTTAATTTGATTTTATTTGAATTTAAATGAATAAAAATAAAAACAAATTAAATAAACAAAGATAAAAAATCATGGAGGGTCCCATAGGTCGTGGACCATGCTAGGACTGAGATTCAATCTTGAAAAAATGGGCCCATGTAGAAAAAATACAATTTTGAGCATTGTTGACTTTGGGCAAATTCTCCAAAAATGGCCAACTTTGACAATGCATATATCCTTCAATTTTGACCCTAAGAGGGTGTTCTTTGACTTTTTAGGAATCTTAGGATGTCCTCTGAACAACCCTTTTCGTTTCATCTCAATTGGGTCTTCCATGTTCATGTAAGAAGCTTTGACCCAAAAGGTGTTTTTGTTGACTTTATGAAATGACCTATAACGCCTGAATTTATATCTTTTTATGAGTTCATTTTTTGAACTTGACGGCTGAAGATGAGTTGTAGGGAATTGAATTCTCTTCAAAATGAGCCTTAGATGAGAAATTTATGATAAAGTATGAGAAAGTTATGCCTGGTCAAAGTTTGGTTGACTTTTCCTATAAAAACCCTAATTTAACAACTTTTGAGTTTTGATGAATTTGGGGCATTCCTTGAGGAATCATGATCAATGCTTGACAAAATGATGAATATTACTTAAAAATGTTCATGTTGACCAAAATATTAAAGTATGACTGTATGAGGGTCACAGTTGACTTTTGACCTAGTATAGTTGATTTTCAGGCATTTGAGCAGTTGACTGAGCAAACTCCTTGTGCAAGGCATGAAACTTGGTATGGATGATCTTGAGAAAATATTAGGGAAATGGAATTAATTTAGGACCATTGAAACTCAAACATATTGATGAAGAGTGAAACCCTAGTTTGGGGCTCATTGTCTTAGGAGGAGGACTTGTCCGGTCAATCCTTAGTCAACTTGAGCAATTGAGAACCTCTAGGAGTAAATTTTGAGTAAAAATGAGAGGAAAAATTTTGGGGTACAACAGATAGGCTCATGGATTATTTGGAAAAGCCTAAACTATTGAGACACAAAATTTTGTTGATAGACAAGCATGCAAATGTTGCTTTTCACATGCATGATCCTCAAGACAATTAACCTAGGGAGTAAAAAGGCTTTCCAAACATCAACAATATTTGTGTCTTCAAGAAAAATGTCAAAAAGAGATCTTGTAAAACATTCATAGCCATGAGTCCTATTGGCAAAATGGGCCATCAAAGGACTAAATACATGACTTTTTGAAAACATCATGATGTACTTAATAAAATACTCCCAAAATTCTTTCCATCATCATCAGGAGTCAGTCGAAGCAATCTTTTTCCCTTGACAATTCGATTTTGGATTTCAGGATCTTCGTTGTTCACTATACCAGAAGTGTTGAGAGATAGTTTGAATGTTGTATTCATCCATAAATGGAGAAGCCAGTATGGGCCAACTAGGAGCAAGTTTGTGCCTGCCTTGTACTCTTTCTGTTTGGAAGTAGCAGATCCAAGGCTCTCATAAAAAATAGTAAGAATTAACTTACTGAGGCACACTTTTTGACTAGAGTGAAGTTGGTTTTCTAAGGTAAGGTATCTTCTGGCTACTTGTAAATATTTACAGCAAAAGATACACCTAGGTAGCCAGAGAGCAAGGAAAGATATGTGCTCAACATCGGACACTTCATCTCCTTCGACATGGTAAAGATTCATGTATTTGGTGAAGGCAACATTTTCGACAATGAAATTGATTGTGTTTGTATCATGTTAATAAGGATCAAAGGTTTCTCCATTAGGGGGAGTTCGATGATAGTATCCATATCGAAGATAGTGGGAGTTATCATCCCACTGGGGAGATGGAAAGTATTGTAAGTAATATCCCAGAAGTACAATGAGAACATAAGCATGGGTTGGCAATAGCTAAAACCTATCTTCGATATTTGAATCAAATCGAAGATGCCTAAGTCTTTCCAGGTCTGAGATTTTACCTTTTTGACTTTAGACAACCAAGCGAGATATTGTTTATTTACTACAAGGAAAGACCTAAAAGGTTTATCTTCAGCTACAGTAATTTAGGGAGTATCTTTTTGGGTGTTCCTTACAGATGATTATGCTAATTGATTATCAGGGTTGCTATCTTTCTTCTTAAAAGGTTTGGCTTTGTTAACAATGGGTTTCATATCATAGTAAACAAGAAAAAAAATTGGTTTTCTCTAAACATTTAGAAGACATCAAAGGACCCATATACCCTAGGGTTTTATCAGCAATGGTAAAAGGGATTATTATCTGAGAAGCGTAAATCACTTGTTGTTCAAAAGTGACGTGTGGTGTTGGAACCAATTCTTGATTTTCAATTAGAATGGGTTTGGTGATGTGATGAATCAGTTGGAATGAAGCATCATTCATGGTCTTCACTTCCTTGTTCTTCATATTTGTGTCAGATTTTCTTCCTTTTTTGGATTGTTCCATGATTGACAGGTTCAATTTCTTGATTGTTTGAAGGTTTTTGAGAAAAAGAGAGTGTAAAATCTAAAAACCAGAACATTGGAAGATGAAAAAGTGTGTTTGGAGAAGAAGAAGGATATTTATAAGCTGGAAATTGTTCATTTTATTTTTTAAAATTTTGGAGTTAGTGGGACACGTGATGATCTATGATAAGCTGATATAAGAGGTTGCCTTTTTAAAAGTCACATTAGGAACCTACTTTTGTAGCAAATGATGGAACTACTGCAAGCACATCTTGATTAGACGTTTTAAAAAAGTAAGTCATGATTGTTCTGACGTCATAGCAGTTATTGTCTATTATGAAGATTGTATGTTCGTCGAAATATAATTGTTTGCAAGAAATGTTTGTTTCCCCAAGAGATTCGAAACACACATTTATTGGGGGCAATTTTTTGATTGGAAATTTTGACTACATCGGTTTTAGCTGAAATGATATATTTTGGAGAATATAGTTCGAAAGAAAGAATAAATGAGTTTGTGTGAAGATTTCGACAGATGAAGAGCTAATAAAAGCTTTGTTTTTTTTGCTAAGTATTGGCAAAAGGTTCGTACGCGAACCATAGAGATTTCAAGTTATTCAAAATATCATTAAGCATATTTAGACCGTCACATTTAGCGTTTGAAAACAAGGAGTTTTCATATTCAAAAGATTGATCTTATCCAAAGGGACGCGTGGAAGCTTAAATTTCGAAGGCGCATGCAAATGTCGAACATGGCAACATATTACTTAGAGACCGTTTGGTCGAAATTAGTATAAATATGGTTCTTAGTGTTAGGATTCAGTGTGTTCACATCTTTGTACAAAATACTCAAAATTACTCAAAGTACCAGCGTTAGAGAAACGAGTTTGTGATAATGTACGTATGATGCACCAATTTTATGTTTATTGTTATCCAACTTTAATTTAAAGCTTTATACATTCCTTTAAATTTCAAACAAAATCTCTTTACATTTCAGTCTTTTCTTTAAATGCATTACCTTACTATTTACGAAGTAACAATTGAAATAATCTTTGTCTAAAAGAACGAAGATGTTGTCGAAAATACTCTTCATTTTAAGAATAAAAGTTTTGAATGAGAACACATGTACTTAGGATTAATCTGGTCGATCTTTCAACTTACCATTTTTATTCGATTTGGAACACCAACGATTGTTTACCAAATTTCACGGTAAACACTCATGACATCCTTGTCCTCACTCCTCTTGCCTTTGAACCCACTTTCTTTTGCACCAAAGAATTTCATGATTAGTGGCTCAAATATTATATGGTCAAATGTGGTTCTCCCAAGGTGCTTTCCAAACGACTGACCGATGCTTTTTATGTCATGCAGAAAAATTCTAACAAGGTAGATTCAAACATATTAAAGATATCTAAGCCTTTCAGAAGTACTTTGAAGTCGTTTACAATCCTGAGGGCCTATGATGGAATATTTCTGACGCGGCTGTGACCTTGAAAGAAAAGTTTCTGAAAAAACCACCTAGTTTGAAACTTCCATCTTACATGGCGGACGAAGACATGTACGAGTTTTCTTTCAAACGATATACCCCCAAGTTTACACCTTTAGCAAGCTCGAAATTTTCTTTGGCATTTCGCCCCCCCATTTCCTAATTGGTGGCCTAGTGGATCCTTTTTGAAAGTAATAAACAACACTCTTTTAAAACCAGCGCAGCGAGTAGTTCCGACTAAGCACTCTTTGGAAGAATTCAAAGGACACCTTCGTGTCGATATTGAATGTGTCAAAATTTTGACTCCAATACCTGAAGGTGTAGAAAACGCCTGAATTCCTCTCGTTTTTTCTTTTCTTTTTCTAGTCCTTTGTCTTCTTACTTTTCTACTAACCCCTTTTTAGCAGTCAAGCAGAAAAAGCATCCTAAAGTGTCTTCTAAGAGAGCCGACATTTCCGCTACAACTGACGAAGGACCTTCAAACCAGGTTTATCTTGTTCATTTAACTGAAATCTTTTGTAGTCTAGTTTGCATATCCTTACTTTGCTTTTGTTTTATTTAGGTGCAAGAAGAAATTATCTCTGATGTTCCTCTTGCCAAGCGGTCCAGAGGCATCCATATCCAAGAACCTCCTGCCCATCTTCAATCCTGTCCATACTTCTCCACAAAGAAACCCAAGAAAACTAAATTCGCTCGAACGACCCTTTCCCCCAAAGTCGTTGCTTCTCCTCAACCCAAGGTTGTTGTTGCAGCGAAACCATCAAAGGGGACGAAAATAATTTGCTTAAAAACTCGGTCGACTGCGGCTACCACAAAGGTTTTCCCCAATCAGCAAGAAAGTACCCATTTTAGCCCCGATGTTGGTCTTCAGGTATGTATTTTTCTTTAAAGTGGAGTCTCTTTCTATCTCTGTCGTCATTGAAGAACGCTATTTCCTTTTTTTGCAGCGCAATATTGTCTCCAAATCCAAACCAATTATTGAACAACAATCAATCCCTCCTATTCCACCAATAAAATCTATTGCTTAACAATCACCATCTACTATTCAACCAATCCTTTTTATGACTGCAACCTCACCTCCAAGTCCCACTACTTATGACGAAAGTGACTTACAGTTTCCCCACTCCAATGCCTTTTCCGACACTGCTAGTGAAGTTTCATATTATTCACCAATGAGTGAAACCCTCGTTGATGAAGACTTGGATGACCAACTTCTGCACAATGTTGTTACTACCATAGCTAGCAATCATATCGCTCCTATTGGCTCACTTATCGATCAAAATTAGCCTTTAAATGACAACATTAAAAAGATGTCCACAACACCTTCCATGCTCGACAAATTACCCCTCTTTCGCTAGTGGTGCACTCTTTTGATGTTATGCATGTTAATCAGCCACAGACTCATGTTTCCTTTGGCATAAAACCAACTCCTAACAATCCTCAACCAACTCATGCCTCATGTCTCATGGAGAACTTGTTGTTCTAAAACCAACTAAGCCTCTAGACTACTTGAAGCTTATGATGAACTCTAGGGGTATATTCACATGGCAGATATTTTAGCTTTTCCACGATTTCGAGCAACGTTTCTTTACCTGAAACTCGAGAAGAGATACAATGTCATCTTAAAACCCTACTTTTTAATTGTCATTTTTTGCGCTGTTAGAAACCAATGCTATGGCTAGTCACGACATCAAGGACTTACCCAAACAAGTTGACCTGTTAACTGCATCTTCAGTTGTCATTAAGTTTGTGATGGAGTTTTATGCCTTCTTGGATCAACTCTTGGTCGACCTTGCTCACAAGAATGATGCCCAAATGAAGAAGTTACCTAAGGAACAAACTAGAGCTCAATAACTGGTTTTAGTGACAACATCTTTATCCATACTAGAGGCTTTGTAGAAAACGCTTGATCATGAAATGTCTGAATTTGAAGCCAGAGCTGCCGACATCTCCAAATGGAATAAACAAACTAAAGAATTACAAGACAAAGTACAGGAAGCTGAGGCCCTCCAAACTCGTACGAGAAACACTACTCAACAAGCCCTTGATGCAGAAACCAAGACCGGGATCCATCACTTCGACCGAGTAAGGGATTTGGACGCCGAATTGGCTAGCTTCAACTATGCTATTCTCTTAGTTAATTGATGCATTTCCATAGATAGGGTGTGTTATTTAAAGATGAAGGAATATGTGCCTTTTTAATTTATGGTTATTATACTTAAATAAGTTATTTTCTTGATGTATTGTTCAAGCCCTGTTGTTGGATTTTTATTTCATGAACTATGCTTTTTACTCTTTACCAATAGGGATTTCTTACAATATGGGTCTATATTTTTTCAAATATTTCTCGTAAATCCACAGGATTCTTCTTTTGGGTGTGAGTTCCTCAATTTAATATGCATTATTAGTAAAGGCTTGCGACACATAAAATGGTCTTTTCCAATTAGGGGACCATTTCCCAAAAACTCTATCCCTTTTATCCATTGGCAAAATAACTTTTCAAACCATGTCTCCCAAAATGAATGACTTATATTTTACTCTTTTCTTATACGCTTTGGCCACTCGTTCTTTTTGCCTGAGTAGGACATCTGATGTGGCCAATTTATCTTCTTTGATATTAATCAACGTATCGAACATTATTCCCCAGTAAAATTCAGTTGGGATTTCTTCCTGCCTCTGGATTCTTAGTGACTGCACGTGTATTTCCAACAGTAATATTGCATCTTGTCCATATACTAGTCTGAATACTATAGTGTCGTAACCGACAAAAAATATATAGTCTCCACCATTAATTTGTATCCTAAGACGAGAATATAACGGAATAACCCTAACTGTTGATACAGATATTCTAAGTTCTTGACTCACTTTAGAAGAAGAAAAGGTGTTAGGCACCCTTCATCTACCTTGTTCACAAGGATACTAGGGTTTAGGTTTAAGGTTTAGGAATAGGATTTTAATTTTTTAGTTAGGAGACTCGCCACGGTTTTTAAGTCGTATGCCTACGTATCCTCTTATGAGAAATCATAGTCCCAATTCGTACTTTGTAGTGTTTGGTTGATTTTTTTATGGATTATGGAAATATTTTAAATTAATCCTTGAACCAAGTCTGGATTGAAAATAGCAGAATCATAAGTGCAGTTTGCAGCTAATATAAAAGATTTCCAAAATCCTTTTTAAAAATATCTTGATTTTTATATGTTAGTAGAAATATGTTAGTGTTTGATGGGTTAGCTGTCTTAAAATGTATAATGCAATTTGTAAAAAAGTAAGTTTGAATGAGAAAAATGATTTAATGCAATTAAAAAGTAGGGTTAGTGTTTTTAGAAAATAATTTTAATTAATAAATAACTATTTTATAATTATTAAAATATATTAAAAAAAATTTAATAAAAATATAATAACTATTTATTAATAATTGTGCAAAGACATACGTTCAATTCAAAATGCTAAAGATATTATGTGAATTAAATAGATAAAGAAAATAAATAAATTAAACACAATAATTAGAATTAATTAATTAAGTTTAAGGGGTATAAAAATTAGAGTTGTGTGGTGTATATAAAAAGAAATCTGGGTCCAAATTAAGTTTGAACCCAAAAGGTCAGTGGGTGTATTTTAGTGTTACGTAGTAATTCCAAGGAGTGTAAATAATAAGGGCCCATGTTAAGAAATTGAACTTGAACCAAATGCATGGAGGGGTGTGGATTAAATAAGGATGGCCCAAGCCCATCATTAATCATAATTCTAATAAATAATTAAATTAGTAACAATAGCTAATTCGTAAAAATAAATAAATAAATAAAAAGCAACAACAAAAGGATAGGGGAGACGTACCTCCGTCTGCTTCTAAGTAGTAACACAATTTGATTTACAAAGGAAACCAATTATAATAACAACCAATATTATAATACCAACACATATTATAATAACAACATATATTATAGTAAAAACATAAACAACTTATATTAGAAGAGAAACCAAACATAGCTTCTCTTTTTCTCTCCCTCTCTCTTAGTTCACAGTGTTTCTCCTTCTACCTTCTTTCTCCACCAAAATCTGAATCAAACCCAAAACAATAGCTCTATCATGAAAGCAAAAAAGGGAAAAAAGAGAGGTGGCACCTGACGGGAAGCATTTGGAGAAAGAGGTTGAGTGTGATAGTGTTAGAAAACTCGCCTTCCAATTGTAAGAAAAGTTTTAGGTGTTCTGTTTAGAACCCCAAAATAATTGTTGATAAGATTGTTAATCTATGTAATACGGTGGGGTGACTTGTGTTACGCTTTATCGTAAATGTGCAGATACCAAGAGTAACCACCAACTTTTCTTTTATCCAATAAGGAAAGGGTGAAAAGAACAGGAAAGACCTTCGAGATTTTCTTGAGTTCGGGGGGGTAGGTTATGAAAATGGAAGGTGTCAGTACCCTTTTCATCCGTAGTTATCTACAAGCTCTTAATCACTTAACTAATTTTTTGAAAATTCCTTTGTGCTGTGTATTTGAAAATATTTTCAAAATGTCAATTGTAAGGCAAACTTTGTAATGATTCTCGTATTTGTCCTCGAGAATGCATACAAAGTGTTTGTTCAAAAATATTTATTAAAGTGTTATTGTGTGAAATGTTTTGTTTTGAAGAGCTTTGTGAGCAAGCGATTAACAGCGGTCTACCTACTCAAGGTCTTTATTGTACTTTTCCTCCTCCTTTAGATAGTGTTATCCTATCATTAGTTAGTAGGAAGCCCTATCATTGGATGTGAAGGGACAGGCGTGGGGTTATCGTACAGTCATTGAAGGCAACTTGTAAAGACGCTTTAGCGATTATCATTTAAGGGACTATATCATTTACCGAAGGCAACATCAAAAGGGTCATCAAGGGACTATGATATTTTGCACCGGAGGGACTTTTCTAAAGCGTCCCCAGATTCGAGAGACATGATTTTTTTCCGAGGCAACAAGGGAGGTTACCCTAGAGGTGCGCGTGTGCGAAGTGTGTTGTGATTCTGTTATTTTTTATCTTGCATTAGGGTTTTCTAACATTTTATTTTATCTTTCCATACATGACCTAATTACTAACAATAACAGTAAAAATAGAAAAGCGGTAAATAAGCGAAAAGTAAAAACAGAAAATAAAACCCCAGACTATTATTACATGGATTTTGGATAAGTACATAATAGAAAAGCCGAAAAATAAACCCTAATTACTATTTAAATCGTGAGCAGTTACAATTATAATTAAAAGAAAAGAAAATGTGAGAATAGTAAACCATGTGAAATGTAAAAATAGGAAAGAAGGAAAGCGAACATATTTTTGGTGATTTTTTGATAAAAAATGGTTTGATGGTTAATCTAAAAACTTAAATTGATTTTAATTAATTAATTAAAAAAGTTGATTAATTAAATTGAAACCTAAAAAATCTAATTTGATTGATTAAATAAAAAAAACTAAAAAAAAATTATTAGGGTTCATGAAAATAAGGTTTTGGTTTGGTGAAGTTAGGGTTTATAATAGAAAATAATAAGAAAAGAAGGTTTACAAAATTATTTACCAGGGCTGGGTATTGAACCCACACACTCATCCCTTTCAACCAGCACCTTCACCATCAGGTCAGGCGCATGCCTATTACAAGGAAGGGAAGCTAGCGCCTTTTGTAATCTATAAAACAAATAAAATCATAAAAAATAATAAAATGCCAAATGGCTAGGATCGAACCCACGCCTTGGCATAGTAACATCTTATCGCGCGCGCTTCAACCGCTGGGGTGGTAATACATCAGTTATCTTTAATAAACCAATAAAACAAATATTAAACAAAAACGCATAGACCGGAGAGACACCATATCCCTAGCTCTGGTCGTCTTCTTCGGTGAGAGGATTTCTTGTTCCTACAAAACAACACATATTACGGATCCAGGGGAACCCTACCTAAATCAGGGCCTGCGAATTCAATGGACCGGTTTGTTTGGGATGAATAATGCTGGTTTAGGAGTTACAAAGAAAACATCATGGATCAGGTGGTTATGGTAACTCACGATTTGATCATCATGGGACTCCCATGTTTGGTTTTTCTTGCATAGCATTACCTCATGAACATGTCAATAACATTAGTATGCGTAAAAACATAATGAAACAACATATATGAAAAATATGCAATGATGAAACCGACAAGGAATGTTTATGTGACTTTATCCCCTTTTGACCATGGAAATCGATCCATCCTTACCCTACTGAGTTCCTGGAAGTGAATGGAAGAGTTGATAGGCCTCGAGAGTGGCGGTAAGCTAGGGTTTCAAGTTTCCCTATTTTTACGTAATTTGTGATTTTTTGGAGGTTTCTTGGACAAGGTTTTTTCATGGCTTTTGTGTCTTATTTGAGGATAATATATAGCATGGAATTAGGTAAAAAATATGGGCTTGGACTCTTGTAATAAGCCTTGTCTTATTTTATCTTATTTTGACTTTTAAAAATAATAAAAATCAAAAACAACGTATAATAAACCAAAGGGAGTTGTATGAACAAGTCTTGAGGTGCATATGGAGTGTAGAACATTCTTGGACTCTGAAACAATAACCCAAAAAATCAAGTTTGTTCAATTTGAACTTCATGCATTTGCTCAAAATTTCCCAACTTGCACTGGTCATAACTCTCTCAATTTTTATCATTTGAAGGTGATCGTGGACTTTTTTGAAAGCTAAATATGTCCTCTTCAAACCCTATGTTTATGATTTTTTTCATTTGAAGACTTTATCTTAATATAAGTTGCCTTGACAAAAAGTGTCTTTTGTTGACTTTTGAAATGGCGTATAATGTATTGGCTCATATCTCTCAAATGAAGCATTTTATGGAATTGAGATTAGAGAGACAAAGTTCCAGAGCATTGAATTTCCTTCACAATGAGCTTTGGTTGAGGAAAATATAATGAAACATGTGAAAGTTATGCTTGGTCAAAGTTCAGTTGACTTCTCCTTAAGAAAACCCTAATTTGGCAACTTTTGACTTTTGATGATTTGAGAGTTTCCTTGATGAGTCATGATCAACCCTTGATCAAATGATGAATATGACTTCAAAATATTGATGTTGACTAAAAATCTTGAAGTTTGACTGTATGTTGACCATAATTTACTTTTTATCCAATATAGTTAATTTTTAGCC